GAAGATTGAATATTTTGACAGAATGAGAATTGCACCAATGAATAGAATATGCCAAATTTTGAAAAATTGCCTAAAGGAACACCCGGAACCATGCAACAAATCACTCATCTCTTGCAGTCATTGCGGCGGTCGACACCACGTGGCTTTCTGTGAGAAACTTGGAATCGAAATGATCAAAGGCCAGGCATCGTCCAAATATTAGTTGTTATGTTTTCTCTTTCTCTACTTCTCGTTCAAAACTTTGCTCCTTTTTCAGAATTATTCTTTTTTTTTACCAAAAATTTGCTCTTTTTTTAAGATTTAAATTCCTCCCTACAAAATTCCTGGTGTACAAGGTTTCCTCAAAAAAAACTTTCTCCGTTAAGATTGTCGCAGAACAAGTTTCCGCTTCACATTTTTGCGTTGCGCGGAGAATCCAGAGTAAACTCTGAATCATTTTGGAGGGCGGAGTGTGGCGAATAGCCACTAAAAAGTTACCTAACTCTGACAGCCTAAAAAATGGAAAAGTATTGAGGAAATCCGTGCGCCTTCATTCTATTTCGCGCCCCAAATCATTTATTGTTTTATAGCTTGTTAGCTGAATATCTTGTGTTAAAGCCTATATAAGGCAACTGTTGCTCATTTGATGCGATTTTTACTTTTTTTCTGTTTTCCTCTCATTGTGTGAAAGTTTTTTCCTAATTAGGACGAAATTGTTTCTGTTTTTATCGTCGCTTTTAATTCAATGGTCGATTTTGTGTGAAAATTGCTCAAGTGAGAGCTCAAAAATTCCGAGTCAGTCGGCTATTGAATAAAGTGTCTTAGTTCTCGTTCAAGTTCAAGTGAGATCAGATATCTCGAAACAAGAAATAACATGTCTTGAGTGAAGAGCACGCAAAGAATATTTCTTTACAGAGGCAATGAATTGCGAAGGACACTCAAATAAGGGCAATAGGACGATTTCTGAATCGAACACCAACGTTAATCGGATTCTATCTGTCTGATCCTCTACAATAGTCGGCTATTGAATAAAGTGTCTTAGTTCAAGTGAGATTAGATATCTCGAAACAAGAAATAACGTGTCTTGAGTGAAGAGCACGCAAAGAATATTTCTTTACACTGATGCCATAAAAATTTTCTAATTATTTTCTCAAAAAAAAAGCAATTAACGCACATTTCCTGGCACACTCAAGTTCCCCGTTTGCCAGAAGCTGTGCGTTTACTAGAGCACAAAGCACCGAACTGTGTACTGCTGTATTTGCTTGCTTTCTACAGTCTTTAACTCGTTTTACTAGTTGTTTAGAGTAGTTCTTTGAATATTCTATTATAGCTTTAGAGGTTAATAAAAAATCCATTCTTGAATCATTGCTATTCAGTCAAAAATACTTGAAAATCTTGGATATGCAAGTTTTTGCTCAATTCCATTCAATTTCCACGATGCTTTGACTGGATTTCTCACTGGAAAGCGTTGTTAATCAAAACATTTTGAGTTATTTTTAGAAACATTCGAGTTTTGTTGAGAAAACTTTCAGAAATGTGGTTGATTAGAGAAAAGACAAAAGACGGTCATCTCTTCAAAGATCTTCAAAGAAAAACGCCGATCGGCAAAGAAAAACAAAGTTGAATACTCGATTTTGGATGTTTAGATTATAAAGATATTCAATCTAAACAGATAATGAACAAAAGGAAAACACAATTGTTTCTTTGTTTCAAAGAAACTTGTGAAGGCCATTTGAAGGCGGCGACCTTTTTGAGAAAATTTCACAATCAAGCTACCGTAACCGTTTGGTTTGATGGCTTGGTATCAATAAAATTAGTGCTAAATAGAAAAGTGGTTACGGTAGATTTCCTCTAGGCTTTATTGTCATTGTCATGCCAGCTACAGTAATTGCTTTTGGCGCTTCCCTGCTACTGTAACCGCTCTAAAGCATTTCCTATCTACCGTAATCGCTCTAAAGCGTTTCCTAGCTACAATAATCGCTCTAAAGCATTTCCTATCTACCGTAACCACTCTAAAACATTCCCTAGCTACAATAATCGCTCTAAAGCTTTTCCTAGCTACAGTAACCCGCAATCTCTATACTAGACTTGAGCTTTATAGATAAATAATCGGGTTTGGGTTACGGTAGTCGGGCACGCTTTTGCTGAGTGATGTCTAGGGTTACGGTGGTTAGAGTTATGGTAGGTTTAGCCTACAAGGCTCGCTCTTTACGTTTCTTAGCTTTAGCATTAAGTTAGTTAACGCTACGGTAACCAGGGTACTAAGTTAGGATCGTTCCTGTAATCGAGTTATAAGGTACGGTAGGAGTACAGTGGCTCAGGGTCTGAAACTTGGCTCGATTACTGTAACCAAGATCATAATTTTGCAGGCAAAATCGGAAATCGAGTGCGCCAGAAGGGATTTGTTTACAAAAAAACAAAGTCCACCACACAAGTGTGCCAGAGAATGGGCGTTTGCGAGTGGGCAAAGTATATGCAAAAGCTTGAAAAAAAGTTCGTTTTCGAAATCATTTTGTTTAGATTATAATACCGAAGTTCAATACATAAATCACATAAAGGATTATCGGGATTTGGTTTTGGTAAAGTTTTTGAAAGAGTCAACTCGGAGAAGAGTTGAGAAGTGCTGTTGAGAAGTGCTATTGCGCAATAAGCTCAAGTGAAAGGGATTAAATTTCGCAAAAGTAACCAATTCTTCTCAATCACTCTCAAAAACATAAAAACATATGTAAATCAAAAAATTTAGATCAATAATTTGTCTAAAAATCTAGCTTGTCTAGCTTTTTCAGTTTTTAAGCGTAAGGTAATTAGAAGTCTAATCAAAAGTTTACTGTATGAAGGCCAACGTACGGTACGTCTAATACTTTACTCTAATTTAGGCTTTACGGTAAGACTGCATCTAAGGGGGTTACTGTAGACATAGCATAGACTAGAGATCGACCATGGATTACGGTAGAAAGGTCAAGAAATAGGAAAAGGTAGAAATTTTGAATTTTGAAGTTTTTCCTCACATATTTCCTAAGAATTTACTTTTATAGCCTATTCGTAGCCAATCTAATCTACTTATAGTCAATCTAAACCCATTTGTGAAAATCTAAGCCAATCTAAACCAATCTAAGCCCAATCTAAGCCCTTTTTACCAAAAATTCCCCAAAATTCTAGTTCTCCAGCGGAAAGCTGTCACAAAATCGATGTGTCGCTGTTTTTGTGCGAATTTTCCCATTCATTCGACCATTTGCCATCTTTTCACAGCTTTCTGGAACACACAGAGCATTTCTCTTTCTTTAAGATTTGCTATTTCTAAAAAGAACACGATGATCGAGTCATCGCTCCAGACTCCGCCCATTTTCGGGGTACTGTAAGTCGAGCTTTCGGGCGATTGGGACCAGAAGCTCATTCCGTCAAATTGTCACCTCGAGGACGCTGCTCAAAACTTCTTTAATAGCAAGTATCAGACTCAACTACAGTAATTCAGTACTATATCTATAGGATTTCTATTCAGTCGCAGTGTATTTCTATTCAGTCGTATTTCTATTCTTGGCTAAGCTTTCATGCTGTGCTATGGTAAAATCTCTCCTAGATAAGTAATTTCCGAATACGGTACGGTTTTGTCGAGTGTCAACACCGGAGAGAAAAAAAGTGAGTGATGACACGTGTCAAAACAGTATCGTTTACAGGAAAAGTTAGCACAAGCGCACAAAATATTGATACCGTAATCCAGGCGGCTAGTTGGTTAACAACTTTAGTCTCAAATTTTGCCTAAAAAGTGCCCCATTTCTACCGTAACCTTGTCTAAACTACCGTAACCTCGTCTAAACTACCGTAACCTCGTCTAAACTACCGTAACCTTGTCTAAACTACCGTAACCTTGTCTAAACTATTGTAACCTTGTCTAAACTACCGTAACCTTGTCTAAACTATTGTAACCTTGTCTAAACTACCGTAACCTTGTCTAAACTATTGTAATCTTGTCTAAACTACTGTAATCTTGTCTTTATTTTTATCCAATCTATTCACTTTTGTCTGATTCTGTGAAATTTCATAAAAAGATATCGAAAGATACAAAAAGTTAACAGATTAAATAAATATAGTTAATAGACTAAATAAATAGAGAAAAGATTACGATATTTTGAAGAAATGGGGTACGTTTTAGAAAACGGATTTTTTGACAGTAGGACGACAACAATAACCCATTACACTATCCCCATTTCTAAAGGATGATCAAATTCGCGTAACCTATAGCAGTAATGAAGATATTCTATTAGTTCTATTAGGTTATCACAATGAGTCATCAAATTTTTCTAAAAAAAAAGCGGGCAACACCACTCTGATTCCCAGCTGAATGAATAGCTTTTGTTTTTTTGCTCGAAAAAAGATCGTATTCATTTCAAAAAAAGATCAAAGTGTTTTTCTTTCTATTCAATCAAAGAAACGATTCTAATCAGGGTCTTTTCACATTTTTTTTCCGACAATTCTTCTACTCATTGAGGAAATAGTCTAAAAGTAGCCAAAATTCACCGATAAATTTGCATTCAACCCATCCCAACGCTTTACCGTATTCCCCTGAACATTTTAAAGCAATCATAGCTTAGAATGTTTAGTTGAGCTATGATGGCTCTCAAGTGTTCAGGGTGATGTCAGGGAGTTTGCATGAACTTTGTAAATTCGCATTTATTATTTGTGTGCCCTTCCCAATCCACCCCCAAGCCCTTTACCGAAAGTCATTTTGTTTGCCATTTCTTTGTTGGCTGACAAAATGTTTTTTTGGGAACTGGTCTTGGCGATATCGATATGTCCATTATGCAAATTTTGATACTACAGTACTTGCGTATGTTTTGCCAAACCCATTCCACGTTTAACAATCCAGAGCTTTGAAATATTTATTACCTCAAAAACAAACTTCTCTTACTTACCAGTTCAGTGAATTTTACACACAAAGAAAAAGACGCACATTTTGTGGCCCAATAAATCAATAGTCAATAAACGAACAAATACAAGCAATAAGAATTAGGTTGGACATATTAGTTAAGTGTGCCTCGACAATTCGGCGCTCCACACAGGCACTCCTGTTTGTTGTCCTCTATCGGGAATTTGTAATCATAGGTGATCTCGTCTCCTTTGTTGATCAGACCCTGAAAAGAATGACATTGAAAATTTAGCTTGAGCCTTTTTAAAGGGTGCACTTTAGCAAAGCTACCGTAATCACTGTCTATGACACATTAATTTACTCATTAGATTGATTAAAACCAAAGGTTAGTATACTCACTTTACTGTAGATAACAATTCGTTTATCCCCATCAACGGTCACCACTCGTGCATAGCAATTCTGGAAAAATCTGTAAACAACGCTTAACCACTCTTAACTTACCGGAGAACACGAATGATTGATGAAACGGGCCACGTTTCCTTTCTGAGTCGCATCAATCACCTAAATCGATTGAATAAGATTTTTATTTTGAATAAATCCAACAAAAATTACTCTTTAAACAAGTACAAATCAATTGTCCACCTCATTTTCATCAACCCGGAAGAGATAGCTGTCACCCATGCCTCGTTTCTGATAGGCCACCTCTCGTTCTTCGCAAACCGACGATCGAATCTGAACAGATAAATGGTATGAGTGTACGACACTAAAATTACCTTTTGTCCGATATATTCAACAATCATATCATCAGGTGCTATTGTCTCCATTGCATAGAGTCCCCATCCGTGAATCTTTGACCTCGCAAATTTGATCATCTTCTTTCGGTACTAAAGAATGAAAATAGTCAACGTTAAGGCTAAAATCATCTCAAAAGCTGCATGACTAACAAACCCGTAATTGATTGGCCTTGAAAAGTTCGGAATTTGTGTCAGCGAGAAGCTTCCGCGCCAGCTGTTTCTGTTCACGTGACATCAGCGCCTGGTGTCGCATCGCGATTTCATCCTGAAAAAAAATTGCATATAAATAACGCAATTACTTATTCATATTCATATCTGCACTAAATTTACCTCCAAAAAAATACCTGTTGACTGATATCCATTCGGAGGTCTGATATTCCATCGGGGCGTCGAATCAAACTCCTCTTCTCTTTGATCGTCAACTTTTGATAAGGCTAAATGATCAGATTTAATACGACTTTAAAAACAAAATTTCTCAATCAAAAAGTACTAATTCAATTGGCGACCTCGAAAAGGCTGCAGATTTTTAAAAAATTCCTTACCCTAATTTTCGCACACCCCTCATCCACCGGTCGCACACCAGCCAGTGTTCTGTCGTCATAGTGCAACTCGAGACCGTTGATTTTTGTCGGTACATCCTAAAGAGAAAATAATTGAATCTTAAAGTACCCATCAAAACTCTTTACTCACCAATATTCGCGGAGTGGCCACGGTTTCACAGGGCACAAACGGCACGTAATAGTCCTGAGATGTCGATGCTCGATAGTGGTGTTCGCCAAATTCCGAGAAGTTTTTCGGCTCCTAAATTCCAGTGTGATTTTAAATTAACAATCCGCTCACCTCTCTTTCTGCTTGTTTCAAAGCCAACGATTTTCTCAGATACTCCTGGTCCTCGGTGTCTAGCAAAACCTAAAAATCAACCATTAAAATTAAAAAAATCAACCAATTTTACAAGTCTTTTACTCATTTACTGCAGTAACATAAGCACAAACCAGATTCTCGGTGATTTGTCGCTCGGTTTCAAGTGTTCGTTTGGTGAATTTCTTCTGAATTTTCTTCGGTCGTTGCGCCTCGGGAGTTTCCGCTCGTAGATCCTTCTTGTTGACCGCCGGCGGTAGTAAAGCTAAATTTAGCTTTATATCTTTAACATTGATCCAAATAATATCTATTTTAAAAAAACTAACCGTTAAGCTCTTTCTCGAGTCGGGTCGCCTTGGCGTTTTTCTTTTTGGTAGGTGCAGATGTAGTTGAGGAGGGCTAAAATATAAGGAATATATCATCGACGCAGATCAATTGGACACAAAATTTTCAATCGATGACCCGTTTACAGTGTGTGAGTACCGAAAACCCAATAGCCTCAGCCCATGTACAAAAATTCAATAGTTAGTTAGTGCTAAATTTTGGAGCTCTATTCCAGCGTCGAAAAGTTAAAATGGGGATCTTTCTGATATTCCGGTCAATTTGCGATTGATTTGTGATCTTAACTCCGCGACAACGATTTCCACAAAACTCTACCCTGCCCAGGGGAATCGTGGCCGCTTCTGTAAGGGTTTTCCCGCCCTGTGGAGTCCAATTGGGCGGCGGAAGGGCCAGCTCTCGTGTTTTCCCGAGGTCACAGGGGTAACAGTGATCGAGTAGGCGCGCATCGTAGCGATCGAGTCCAGCTCCACGTACTCTCATCGATGAAGAAGTCATTGGGTCAACTCTGCCTGCAGGGAAGACAAATGGACGAACCCTCGAGCAAGTGTCGTCGTCGGTTTCTTTCACAACTAGCAATCCCATTTCCGTAGTCTCCTCGTCAGCAATCGAGGCCGGGGATCTCGTGAGGTCCTGTAATTTATTTGGCTTTTATGAGCCTTATCGTCAATTTATATTTAGATCCTTCATGGCTTTGATAGGCCACTTTATAGCAAAATTCGGTGATGAAAACATTTGAAGGTAAAATTCTTTGGTTAGATTTTTAGTTGATTTTTCTGCTTTTATGGTTGTTTGGTAAGTTTGAGTTAAAAGAGAGGCTTGAGGACTCGCTTAAACACATCCTACTCTTTGGCAAGAAATTCTTGCCATGAAAGACCTTTTTCTTAAAGCCGAAATTTACCTTTTCATGCAAAATTCGGGCAAGTGTTGCAAGTTTGGCATCACGTTTCAGTTCTAAAATTTTAGATTTTTAAACGTTTTTAGCCACCAAATACTACCTTCGCTTTCGGGAAGAGGACTCGCTTTTGATTTGGTGAAACTAAAAAGACCTTGAAATCATAAACTTCAAGAATTCTATACCAAGAAGAAGCCGTTGAAGAGTCAATCGATTCGGATTCAGAATCCACCTGCGTCAAATCGCTATTATAATCCTCATCAGCTCTGAAAAGTAATTTGTAAGCAAAATATGAATAGAAAAATATTTACTTTGTTGTGACCGAATCCGAGTCATTATCTCGTGATGACGTTGAGCTTGAGTGCGGTAAAGTCGGGGCAGGTTCTTCAAAGTCTTGACTAACTTTCTTCTAAAATAATTAAACGCTAATTAAACGCGTAACAAAATGGTCCAACCATTCGGAAACTTGGCATCTTTGGCATTGAAAAGTCATTGTTCTGCAATTTTACCGGGCTAATCTGAAAAAAGCTTGAAATTCATAAAATTATCGTTATGAACTCACATAAGCACTCAATAAGCTCTCGTTTTTGTCCTTATCTTCTGAGCCAATCGTCGCTCGGAGAGACTCCAGTGCCTAAATAGAAAAGTTTTTGCATTCAAGCTTTGACAGTACCTTCTGTTTATTTCTCTCCACCATCTCTTGCCGCTTCCTTGTTAGTGACTCATTGAAGACATCAGCAGAAATTTTCTAAAAATGTATTTTTTTCAATCGTAATCTTTTCTTACTTCGAACATCTTCATTAAATCTCGATGAACAGCTATGACCAAATCATTCGCCGCTTTTGATAGTGCATCACCGGTCGCCATTGCCTATAATTGAAATTATGTTTTTCCAACCATGCCTATGCACTTCACCTATAACATATCTACTAGAAAATTCAAAGCAACTTACAATAATCATCTCATTTGGTTTTTCTTCTCGTTCAACCGGCGGTTTCACTTTATTCAAATCGATCGCATAGCTGTCCTTGTAATTTCCTCGTTTCGTCGGTTCTTCTTTCACTTGTAGTAGCGGTTTGCTCGGTGATCTAAAATTCAATATTTATCAATTTATAAATGGTTTACTTCACAACTAAGATGTCTAATCTTTAAAACCTCACTCATGAACTTTCGGCTTCACCGGGGTCACTGGTGGCTCGGGACTGTTCGAAATGGATGTGCTAGCGATATCAAGTTTAAACAAGGAACTCAATCGTTCTGATAGACTTTCCTAAATTTTTCTTAATTAGTAAAAACAAATCAAAACTCACTTTTGGTTTTGAAGGGGGCGGCAATGTTTCGTCTACATAACTTCTCCCGGCAATTTCTTCGATTCTTTGATAGACTTTTGGTGCGTCGGTGACACTCTAAAAGCAGTTTATTATTTTATATACTCTTTTCAGCTTCAATCAGACAATGTTATAGACTTATAATATTTTTAGAGCTTTTGGGGTATTCTTATAACAAAAATTACTTCAGGAGGTGGCGGTCTCTGAGGTATGACTCCATTCAATGTGGGCGGTGGCACAGAGAAATCAACCATATGAAGTGGAACTGGTACATAGGGAACTGAAAGGTTTGAGTAAAAGGCATATAACGATTTAGCAACCTCTTGGGAAAACGACTGATGGGACTCGTTCATCGGGTTTTGATGCCGGCGGTATTTGTTGAATTGCAGAGTATGGAGGTGGTGGGCCTAGAAGCAAAATATTTATTGGTAAAAACAAAAACAACATAGCAACAAAACATTCATTTTTCTCACCGGGTGGTAGAGGTAGACTCGAAACATCAAAAGTTGTTTGTGAGGGAAGAAAGCAGACAACCGATGTGTTTGGTGATGGATCGAGAATCTGAACGTGATGGTAATAAACCTGATACATTAAATAAAGACCCACTCGAGCATGATCTTGTCTAGAATATCCGCGACTTCTCGAACTCGCTCTTTCTCGCGATGAATCGGCTCGGTTTTTCGGTCGTTTTGAGTTCTTCTTTCCTCGATTTCTTCTTTTATTATTCGCTTCATCACTTTCCGAATCCGAACTCGTCCAATGGTGTGTGCCACTAAAATTCAATGATAATTTTGCAAGTTATAGTATAAAGGTCACCTTAAAAATATACATCAACTATCAATCAACAACTAACCGTGCATGCTCGCTGGTATCTTCTCGACTTCTTTCTTTTCTCTTAAACCATCGTTTATCATCCAACAAAGTCTTAAGGCCACGATGCAGCTGGTCCTCGTCAGAACTGCTTGAAGATGACGAATCCGAAACCGCTTCTGCTCCAGGAACCACTGGTGAAAGTGATCGTTTTACCCTAAAAACAGAGTTTCAACACAATATCAAGATACTATTTATTACATCGTTACTAAAAAGAAACTCACGTTTTCTTTTTCGTTATTGTCACTCGGCTCACAATCTCTGTTCTCTCTTCTTCCCGTTTGATGTATTTCCGCTTGACTCTCCTGAGACTTTGTTGTAAAAGAAATAACTTAAAATTGCTACCAAATTTCCTCTTTCTTCTCTTCATTCAATGATGGTGACGATGAAGAATGTCGGTTATGCCGTTTTCTTTTTCGTCCACTATCCCTAAAACTTAGAAGTTGCATTTTTACAACCGAAACAAACTTTTTCTGTTGTTTACTCGAAGCCTCTTCAAAAAGCACTCGTGACGAGTTGAGTTGAGGAAGTTCTTCTAAAAAGACAATCTGAGTTACAATTCTTAGAAAAAGCTTGTTCATCAGTTTAACACCAACCTTTCGTGGGATAATGATGGGGGCTTAGTGGTGCTTTTGGCGGCATTGCAGTCGGAAGCGAGATACTTGGAGGCAGTTGATGTATTCGACTATTCGGTCGATCATCCGCCAATCGTTCTGATGGTGGGGTGACTCGTTGAGAACCTTGTTGATGAGAGAAATTGTTGATTCGATGATCGGCAACAGCTTTTGATGGACTTGGCTCAAAAGGTAGAGATCTTGGGTCTTCTTGTTGAAAGGAGGAAACTAAACTTTAGCTAGTAAGGAAATAATTGTATAGTTACTTTCTTGACTTTGGACAAAAAATATTCGTTGACCTTAACAAAATTTTCTTTTAATATTACTCACGCAAAGGACTTTTTGGTGAATCCATCGATCCGGTCTCCAACTCCATCGGCTCCGACTTTTGATCATCTTCACGAAAATCTAATAAACGTTAAAAAACTAGCTTCAAGTTATCAAATACCTTGAGGTGATTGTTGAGTCAGCATTTCTTCTCGTAATCTCATCAATCGGTTTTCTTCCATGTCTCGTAAATGATGAGGAATCGGGCAAGGTTGTGAAGTTGAAGTCTCAAACTTTTGTGAAACGAGTGCCGCTAAAAAACTTTTATAAAAATCACTTTAAAGCTCATACCCCAAGGATCAAGAAGACATGTGAGAACGTTGCCCATTAAAGATTTCCCGTGGAATTCCTGGCAAAATTGTAGCGCCGACGAGGGTCTTCTAAATAATCAAGGTTTTGAATCCACAAAACTATCATTTATTTGAATTATTTGAACTATCTGGTCACAGGCAAAAAAAGAAACTAACCTGAAAATAAGCAGTGCAATCCCTAAGTATTTCTGCGTGTCCGGATGGTAGTAGACGTGCACTTTCAAAAGCTCACCGATTTTGCTTAAACGTTTGTGCTTTGCGATAAAATCTTAAAGGTTACTTGGCGGTTTTTGTTAAGAATTCCTCGTTTATGTTGTCGTTTAGTCCCGATATGCATACTTCACGTTGGGGCGGCGTTGTCACATAGTTTGCGTCGATCTGAAAATAGTCATGATAATTTTTAAAACTTTAAATCTTCGGTTTCGAGGTAAGGAGCTTAAAGTTAACTAGCTTTGAACATAAAGAACTCCGCAAGAATTTGGTGACAGGCCCTCAATTGTTTTAACTTTGAAAAACCAAATAAAAATAATCCAAAACCAACTTTAAATATTGGAATCACAACTTCTGGTGGATCTCGATTCTTTCGATGTCGTCGATCATAATGGCCATCCGTCGGTTTCCAGTTGTACTAGAAATAAAAAAGTCTACTCAAATGTGTAAGTAAAGTTGAACCTCTCCACAATTCTACAAGCATACTTTCATAGAGATTTGCATATAATAACTTTAGCTTTAAATTTTTACCTTTTCATCTTCCGGATTCGTCGAGATCACTTTGCCCAACGTTCGATAAAGTTGCTTTCGCCCTCCTTTCAGCTGCGGGTCGGAGACGAGCTTGTAGAATTGATTTATGACTGAAATGTTTAAAATTAGGTACCACGTATAGATAATTTGGTGCTTTGGTGGTTGGAAGAAGCCGCTTTGGCCTGGCTTCGTCGAATCTAGTGTTTTGAGCGGTTCGTTTTGATACTTTTCTTCTATCCCGTGGTAATTAGATATGCTAAAGCGATTAGTGCTAATTTTAGAGTGTTTCCAACATCTTTCAATTTAGTGTTGCAGCTTTCCAAGTGTAATCAGCTTTGAGATAACGTTCGGTGGTCAAAGTATAGCAGGCTAGGACACAGGGCAAATCATCGAATAGAATTATCAAAAACGTGCTTAAATTAGCACCAATCGCTTCAGCATTAGCCCGGAATAAAAGAAAAGTATCGACACAAACCGCTCAAAACACTAGATTCAACTAAGCAAGCCAAAAGTGGCCCCCCAACCACCAAAGTACCGATAATTTTGCTGTATAATATCAATATCGTAAAGTTGCTTACGAAATTACATTATATATACTTATTTTACCCCTAGATATATCACAAAATCAAACCCCTAGGCGTTTTTATGATCTGTCGTTGTTGTACCGAGGCGGCCGATGATGAGGCTCCGTTTGAGTACCGGGAACTCGATGGCGTTTGCTGACATCCTGTTTCTGTTGAAGCCATTGTCTCGATCAATCCATCGACTCTAGAAAATGAAAAAAATAATTGGACGAATATCAACTAAAAAAAACTTCGAAAGAAACAAAAACATTAAGGGTTCAAATAGTGCGGGAGAGGGAATTGACATGAAATTCTTGCAACTGGCTATTTGCCCGCGAAGCCTTTAAGGGTCGATAGGCGCAACGCGTAGGCGTTAACGAGACCAAGGGGAGTCTAAAAACTTGCACAAAACAAACAAATTTGCAGTTATCAAAGCTTTAGTTGACTTAAATTTACTCATCTTAAGTAAGTAAGTTACTTAAGTTAAGTAGTGCTGCCATATTTTAAGAAATTTGCTTTAGAGGTGCTAGCGCCACGTTTTTTGTGCCAATTTCATTTGGGCCTAAAATTTTTGCCGCGTATCGTTTGCGCCCAAAATTTTTGCGCCGCTTGTCACTTGCGCCTCGCATCATTTGCGACAAATGAGCTTTTTTTCAAAAGCACTTGAACCACTCACATTTGTTCACACGGTTCACATTTTACAATTGTTGTGTTACATAGGTTTTTGTTTGCTAATGTTTTGTTACTGTTGTTTTTTTGATAAACGCTTCTTCAAAGTCGAAAACAGCTAATTTGCACGATCGTTATAGCTAACAATCTATCAAAATACTCTAATTTTTGTCAATCAAGTACAAAATCAACTAATTCTTGTGAGTGATTCAAGTGTTTTTGAAAAAAAAGCTCATTTGGCGCAAATGATAGATTCCCAGACTAAAAACCCCTGATACCACATGAGCTAACAGATTTTTGAGCCATTTTCCAGTTCTATAGCACTTCATTGAAAGCTTTTATGCAGAAAAGAAATTTTAAAAAGGGCTGCTACGCAGGAGTACGTGATGATACTCTTTACCCGGTCTTCTATTCGAAGAAATACGGTATTTTTTGCTAGTTTGCTAAGATTGTAGGCATGTAAACGACTGTCATGGCGAATAGAAGAAGATAAACTGCAATAAAGATAATGGAAATAAATAAAAATAGCTAAAAAGCACAAAATTTTGGCAAGTTAGCAAAAAAATCTACAAAATTGAGCTCGGGGGACTTTTTGTCCGGAAACCCAAATGATACATGGCGCAAATAATTTGACACTTTTACTAGCATCGGGTGCTATTCTCTCTAATAGTAGTGCGCCCTGAGCGTTGCCTAAATTGCTCGAAATCTCGAGAACCGCTTATCAGAACCTATCGATGTGCGGCCGGAAAATGTAGCTGACGATGAGATCTTGATGATGATTAGAGTGTTGAGCTTCTGGGAAAGCTTGGAAACCGTAAAATCGTCACCAACTCGGCTCACCGGGGTGCACACTACTATTAGAGAAAATACGGTATTCAGCTTTGCTCGCGCTCCCAGGGGCTTTCGGCTATGGAGAATCTGACTTTTGGGTCTATTTTTAAAAAAGAGCGGGGCTTAAGTAGCAAATTCTTAGCTCAGTTCAGCTAACGTTAAAAACTCGATCAATCAACAAAACTTGGGTTATGTTTAGCCAAAACGCAACTTTCGGTTCATTGCTTTCCCTAATTCCCGCTTCGCTTAAATTGCTCGAAATCTCGAAAAGCGCGTATCAGAACCTATCGATGTGCGGTCGGAAAATGTAGCTGACGATGAGATCTTGACGATGATTAGAGTGTTGAGCTTCTGGAAAAGCTTGGAAACCGTAAAATAGTCATCAACTCGGCTCGGCGGGGTGCACTACTATTAGAGAAAATACGGTATCTGTAACTGTCATAATTTAGTGCAAAATTTGAAAGCTAATCATATTTATTCACTATTTACAGGCACTTTACAATGATAGGACAATTTTTGTGTGGAAAAACGAGTGGAAAGACATGATTTGGCACCGTTTTGTTAAACAAGATTGCAGAAAAAGTAGGAAAAAGTAGGAGAAAGTAGGCGTTTCTTTAGAATCGTGGCAATTTCTCGACTTTGCTCGCTTTTTCCATGTCGGCCAGATATTGGTAGCATCTGGAACATCGGCAATTGTAGTGATCATGAGAATTAATTGGATTTTTTTAGGTAAATCAATTAATTGGCTTTACTTATAGTTAGAAATTCAGCTATTTGACTGTTTTCTAAAAGGTGTGGCGTGGAAAAAGTTATCCCGTAGCCGCCGTAATCTTTTCAATTTCTCTAAAACAAACTTCTTCACAATGCCAGCAATCCAGAAACGAATCAAAATGTGAATGAGACAGCCAATCGCCGCACCGATGCATACAAACAATCGCGTTTTGTGATACCCTAAAATTTGAATCTTGTTAGTCCTTAGCTTTAGCCTTAGCTTTAGCCTTAGCTTTAGCCTTAGCTTTAGCCTTAGCTTTAGCCTTAGCTTTAGCCTTAGCTTTAGCCTTAGCTTTAGCCTTAGCTTTAGCCTTAGCTTTAGCCTTAGCTTTAGCCTTAGCTTTAGCCTTAGCTTTAGCCTTAGCTTTAGCCTTAGCTTTAGCCTTAGCTTTAGCCTTAGCTTTAGCCTTAGCTTTAGCCTTAGCTTTAGCCTTAGCTTTAGCCTTAGCTTTAGCCTTAGCTTTAGCCTTAGCTTTAGCCTTAGCTTTAGCCTTAGCTTTAGCCTTAGCTTTAGCCTTAGCTTTAGCCTTAGCTTTAGCCTTAGCTTTAGCCTTAGCTTTAGCCTTAGCTTTAGCCTTAGCTTTAGCCTTAGCTTTAGCCTTAGCTTTAGCCTTAGCTTTAGCCTTAGAACATTAATCTGAATACAACTTCAACCTAGTTTTGTTTCGATAATTCTTTTTCAACTATCGTAAGACATAATTTGTGTAAACTTTTTGCATTTTTCAAACTTTTTTCTTTCTTTTCAAGCTTTCTGCAAGCACTTTTCGTTTTTTCGTTTTCTAAAGCGTGGATATCGGTTCTTTGAAAAACAAAAGTTGCTCTGCTTTCTTTGCTAAAGTGCAAAAAGTGTCTTGTAGCTCTTAAGTCTTGTAACTCTTACCGTAGTTATCGATTTGTGTCCGAAACTCGCCCAACCAGGCATCGACATCAAAGATGAAGATCACTGCCATTGCTAGTGAAAAAGCCATGGCAAAGTACTGAAAAATGACATTTTAAAATTGACTTTAGTTGCGGTAGCTCCATTTTAACGTTTGCTTTCAGTACAAAAGAACTTTAGAATCTTATCTCGTCTCGAAGTTTTACAGATTTATAGACCGAATTTTCTTCAAATTTTATCAATTTATTTTATTTTATCAAATTTTACGTGTAGATTTTTGAAAAGCAACATGATTTTAGTGTTTGAAATGGTTAAAACCATGGTTTTAGTGTTTGAACTGACACCAATCCTTTTTCCAGCCAAAAGATCAAAAGCTTGGTTCAGTACTTAGCATTGTCACCACCAACAATCTGCCGGGTAAACGGCGAATAATGCTAGATCATCATTTCTTTTTCACGCCACGATTTGTGAGGGCGAGCGCGCTTCTTTTTATGACCCCCTCGCCGGCCGTGTGCCAGAAAGTGCGTGTTTATGGGGACGCACAAAGTACCAGGGGGAAACAAAGAGAAGAATGTAATTTCTTCGTTTTGACTAGGAAAATGATTTAATTTTTTTGTTTTAACTTATAAAATATTATTTTACTCGCTTTGCAGGCTAAAAAATAGCCGAATTGTCATGGAATTGTCATGGAAAAGTCTCTTAAAGTAATTTTTTAGTGGCAAAGTTTTTTTTTTGAGTCTGTTTTTGAGTTTTTGAGTCTTAGATTTAGTAAAGATTTAGATTTATGCAAATCAATAAATCTTAAATCTTAAATCTTAAATCTTTAAATTTAATAGACCTTTAAATATCTTTCGAAACAATTTTTAAATCAAACCTGTGAATACATAAAAGGCAATAAGAGCTTTTTCGCCTCACATCGAATGGCAACGAAAACGAGCGCCGCACAGAAAGCCTCCGAAAAGAGAAGACCAAACTGGAAATTTGTTTTGTGATTTTCAAGATATTTGGATATAAATTATTATAAATCATAAAGATTATTTAAATGATTTAAATGATTTAAATGAATTGGGAGTGGGACAAATGCGACCTTTTTTCCGCACCTTGCCCATTAGCGCACCTTTTTTTTAAAAAAGCTAATATTAACCAATTTCTATTCCAAAAGTTGTTTTTTTAGGTAATTTTAGGGCGTAGAATCGAAATTTTGACATATCAGAGCTTGTGGAAACAAACGGACGGAGTTATACAAAGAGAAAAATCGACAATTTTCTGTAATTTGATCTAGCCGTTTTGTCTTTCAATTTCAATGTCTTTCAAATTGGTTCCACACGCTCTGTTATGTCAAAATTTGAATTCGACACCCTCAAATTACCTAGAAAAACAACATTTGGAATAGAAATTGGTTAATATTAGCTTTTTAGAGCTTTTTTAAAACACGAAAAAAGGTGCGCTAATGGGCAAGGTGCGGAAAAAAAGGTGCGCAAATGTCCGGGTGCGCAAAAAAAACGTCGCATTTGTCCCACTCCCAAATGAATTAAATAATTTAATTCATTTAAATCATTTAAATAATTTAATTCATTTAAATCATTTAAATTATTTAAATCATTTAAATCATTTAAATCATTTAAATTATCTAATTCATTTAAATCATTTAAATCATTTAAATCATTATTTTAAATCATATCATAAACACAAACATCGAGGATGAATTTGGCGGCGATTGACGGGTCAAAGCCGAGTCGATGCCGCAACTTTGAGTCAAAAAATTGCATTGGGAACAGAATGACGCAGAGGATGAAAAATGCAGCAATCACTTGAACACCTTGCTGGAAAAATATGGATTTTGACATGTTCTTTGTGCTCAAGAGTTTGTGGCGCACTGAATTCCACTTTCTAGATTCTTTTGAATTCTCAAAGCTCATTGAATTCCACTTTTCTGGCAGCAACAGTTTCGTGTTGCGGGTAAAAATGAAGAAATCAGCGCACTGTGTTTACATTTTTCCTGAAATTAAGTCCACTAGAAGAAGTGCGTTTACAAAATTGAGCAAATACACATCAAGAATGTTATTGAGCTTTGATAAGACGGCTTATAATACACTGATTGTACTTTGTACTGTACTGTACTGTACTTTGTACTGTACTGTACTGTACTTTGTACTGTCTGTACTGTACTTTGTACTGTACTGTACTGTACTGCCTGTACTGTACTCTGTCTGTCCTTCCCTGCTGTCCTGTCGCGTCTGTCCTGTGTCCTGTTGTCTGTACTGCTGTACTGTACTGTACTGTACTTTGTACTCTTTCTGATGCTCATAATCACTTCTTCACGTTACTTCTAGAAACAAGTTGCTGCCTTAATTAAACAATTGAAAGAAAGGCGAACAATACACTTGCTTTAGTACACTTGAAGCGTACAGGTTTGAGATTTGTGCACTTATAAGCACAATATATCTTTCTTTCTTCCTTTCTTCCTTCCCTTCCTTCCCTTCCTTTCTTCTTCTTCTTCCTCCTTGTTTTTCCTTTTTTTCTCTCGGCAATATAAGCTACCGGATAGCTCAATGGTTAGAGCATTTGCCCGGAAAGTAAAAACGTCGATGGTTCAATCCCCTCTCCAAAAATCTTTCCTTATTACCTTGACATGCAGTCCACAACAACATGTGTAGACTTGTTCAGCAGTGGCCGAGAAAGAGCTCCTCTTTCCCTTCGATGTCCCACTCGCGTTCATTGTCGTCAACACTGTCATCCCTGAGGGACTAAATTGTTAAAATTTGTTAATGGTAAATGAAAGAAATTTCTTTAGAGTCTGGAAATTTACTTTAGAAAGTAAAGAAGCCAAGTTTTGAAGCCAACCAAGCCAAGAAGCCAAACCAAGTTTTGAAAGTAAAGAAGCCAAAAATCAGGCCAAGAAATCAAAGAAAGTTTTACGGTCAGCAAGAGTTACTAGATTTTCAAAATTCCGACCACGCCAAGTCCAAATTGGAAAATTTGCGATTTTTCAAGCAAAGCTACATGAAATTTCTTTGAAATCAGCTTAAAAGCTTCAGAAATTAACTTAAAAGCTTCAGAAATCAGCTCAAAAGCTTCAGAAATTAACTTTAAAGCTTCAGAAATTAACTTCAAAGCTTCAGAAATCAGCTTAAAAGCTGAATCAAGCGTTGGAACGAACTTTGTTTGTTTAGAACAACTTTGTTTAACACAAGTAGTTATCTAAAATGAGCTCGAAATAGAAAAAGACAGCCTAATCGATAAACACAAAAAAAAAGAGGGATTGGGGGTTTTGTTTGGAGATGGGTCCTTGTAGGAAGGGACTATTGAAGAGGGAGAGGACCGGTGTGTGGGAAGAAAGAAAGGAGACCTAAAGGAGACCTTTGTGTCCCCCCTCACACTGTCCTCAAAAAGGAAACTCACTGTCACAGTCTTATCAGTTTTAGATATGTAAACTGTAGTTCTATGTTCTATGAAGAGTTCAGTGCACTAGAAAGAGTGTGTTTACAAATTTGAACACAACACTGCTGCTTATCATCAAGTGCTTATCAGTGTTATGCCCAAGTTTGTAAACGCATTCTTTCTGGTGCACTGAATTCAGTGCTCTAGAAAGCTTGCGTTTACAGTTACACACAGTTTACACATACTTTTACTTTTCGTATACCTGTAGCCGATTGGCAATGTAACAATGATGTAGTAAGTTTGAAAATGGTTGAAAAATTTCAAAAGTTTTTAGATCTAGGAACAAAAGTCTCGAAAATAGCGCAAAATAGCGTTGCTAATAGCGCCAAAAACGCGTTCAAAAAGCCTCAAATAAAGTGGTTTTCAAAAGTTGAAAGAAATTTTAATTTTCTCCGGAAAAACTTTGAACCGAGACGTCCTTGGCCCTTGGTCTTTTAAGTCCTTGGTCTTTTTACGGATAAGTTTCTAACTAAGGAACTGCTTCAGCATTTATTTAGGATATGGAAATTAGCGCCAAAGTAGCGCCAATTAGCGCCAAAGCGCCAATTCTATGAAATACATGTTTTTCAGTTTTTAGCATCCAGTTTTCGTGAAAAATCCTTTTGAAATTTGGTCAGTTTTTAGAAAAACGGTGCCGCGGCGGTATTTATGAAGTAGTATTACGGTAGACTCTCGATAAAACGATAGACTCTCGATAAAACGGTAGACTCTCGATAAAGCAATTCTAAACTACGCTCTTAGTTTCTGCGTAGATGCCCAGTAGAAATGCGATCTGATCGGATTGACCCCGCCTACTTTTGTCCTTTTGCCGTTGGAAAAATCCGTTTTTCTCAGCTTTCCCTAAATCAATTCGAAAACTTTTTGGGTCATTCGATAGGAAAAAAAACTAGCTATCGAATGGTACCAAAAGTGTCCAACTTTGAACAGCTTTGTTTTTTGTTACTCTTTCAATTTGGACATATTTGGTACCAATAGTTGGACACTTTTGGTACCATTCGATAGCTAGTTTTTTTTCCTATCAAACGATACTAAAAATTTTCGAATTGGTTTAGGGAAAGCTGAGAAAAACGGATTTTGCCAACGGCCAAGGCAAAAGTGCGATGCGATCCGATCGGGTCGATCGGATCGCATGTCTACTGCCCAGCCAAACGCAATCGTTGGCCGTTCAGGGCAGCTACGCAAGAAATTTGGGGCATCTGTTAGAATCGTTTATTCGAAATTTTTGGTCTCGAACGAATCGTTAAATCGAGAGTCGACTGTACTTTCCTTCCAGAAGTGGCCGCATAGCCGAAAAACCGAATTCCTTCCAGAAATCGCCTTTCGCACTTTTTCTCCCTGATTCAAATCCCCTCAAAATCTTTTTCAAAAGAATTTTTCTCGAAAACTGAATGCTATAGAGTAATACTGAAATGTCTCCCTTAGAATTTGACGCTTCTGCGCTAGGTCTCATATCCCAAATAGCTAAGTTGAAGTAAAAAGTTGGGTAGAAAAAAATTACAACACCTTTTCTGGTGGAGGAGAACCATTTTTGGAGGAGCAGAGATTCGAAAAACAATGTTAATGAGAAATAGTACAAGATATCAAACTTTGATCTTGATCTGGACCTGTGTTTTGGCCAGGATTGGGTCTTGGAACTGATAGTGAGGCTTGCCAAGTCCCATGGGCCCATAAATTGGGTTTAGTCACATAGTGACTGTATACCTAATTCCTTAGCTTACTTCTGGATTTATTGTAACCTAAATTCAGCTAAGTAACACCTGTAAAGTGCTTTATTGATAATAGAAAATAGTTGATTGAATGAAATACTAAGAAAAGTTCGAAAGAAAAGGACTGGGCCCGTTTCTGAGAGAAGAGAAACCACTCTGTGTCATGATCTTTTCCTTTCTTGGCCTTTCTTGGACAGTTCTATACCCTACCCTAGCCCTTTCCCCATTCCTGGTCTCTTTTTTGGTCCCTTTCAGCTCTCGGGGAATGGCCAAACAAAGCGTGCACGGGGATCCGGTTTTGTCGAAAAAGAGAAAGGAGACCCTGATGGAGAGAACTCCATTTTGGGACCCGATCCCCCCTTCCTACAATCTTCAATCGTTTCATTTCGGGATGTTTTTTCTTAGAGAATCGATCCGGAAATGCAATAGTACTCAAAAATTTTATGTATGCTAGTTGGCAATTGGAACTAAGTTTAGATTTTAGTTTAAACTTTGTAAAAAATCGTTCAAATTGAGTGTACTTGCTTTTTCTAAAGTTTTTAAATTTACTTCTTTCTAAAAAGTGTCAACTTTCGAAAAATATTGTTACCATCTATCATACTGTAATCCCGGTCTATTGTTGGCTATGTAATCATAAATCTGAGGAACAATATTTTAAAATACAAGAGAGCGAAAAGTGATAAGTGCGCAAGTGGCAAATTGAGAAGTTTAAAGAAGATTACCGTATTTCTTCGAATAGAAGACCGGGTAAAGAGTGTCATCGCGTACTCCTGCGTAGCAGCCCTTTTTAAAATTTCTTTTCTGCATAAAAGCTTTCAATGAGGTGCTATAGGGCTGGAAAATGACTCAAAAATACCACATGAGCTAACAGATTTTTGAGTCATTTTCCAGCCCTATAGCACTTCATTGAAAGCTTTTATGCAGAAAAGAAATTTTTAAAAGGGCTGCTACGCAGGAGTACGCGATGATACTCTTTACCCGGTCTTCTATTCGAAGAAATACGGTATAAAGGTTTAAAGAAGATTATAAAGGTTTAAAGAAGTTTATAAAGATTTAAAGAAAATTATAAAGGTTTAAAGAAGATTATAAAGATTTATGGTTCAATTTCAAATTGCTTATTAAAAAAATTTAGGTTCATTAGAAAGTGAAAGTACTTTTGACTGGAAAAGGACAAAAATTGAGCGCTTTTTTTGGATGAAAAGACAAGTGGATATGTGAGGGGAAAGTGAAAAGCTGAATCTCAAGAGGGTTTTTGACTTTCATTGGAAACAAATCCAGTCAAACTTCGATATAACGAACTTTTTGGCTGGTCCCTTGAGGTTCGTTATATCGAAGTTCGACTGTAGTGCCAAAAACATATGGTTACAAAGACTAATGTGTGCTTAAAGACTAAAGCTACTGTAAAATCCCAATCTATTGCCTCAAAACAGTATATCTATTCAAAAATCATTAAGCTGCTTTTAAATTAGTCTTCAGAATCCAGATTGACTCATAGTTAGCTAGAAATTGATATAACAATTGATTTGCTCGTGTTTTCAGACAAAACGAGGCCGATCTCTTTCTTTTTGAGGAAACCGGTTGGTTTATTGTGGCTCAAATCCTGCGCCCCGTTGCCCTTTGTTGATCAGTTTTTAAAAATGTTTACAGAACAAAAGTACTAAAAATTATTTAATTAGTAATCATTTGGAGTCATTTGGAGTCGTCAAAAATAGCGACAGAATCAAATTTTTAAAAATCAAGGTTCTCCAGTGAGGGGCTAGCAAAAACGGCCAAATTTTACCTACTCTTACCAACTCTGATTGATCGATCTTACCAACTCTGATTGATCATTTATATTTTTTTTAGTTTTTCCTCATCGAGAATGCTCGCTATTTTGCTATCTTTGAAAATTATTATTTAATGCTTGAATTTGATTTCTATTTTGAAAAATTATCATTTAAAGATGCAATAAAATAGATTCGTTGCGATGAAAGCTTCATTTTTCTTCTCGTCCTCTTCCAATTCGATCTTCTCGGATTTTTGCGAGTGCTGTTGGTGAGTTTTTAAAAAACTCGATACTTTGGTGGTTGAGAGGAGTAAGTTTTATCCTTGTTAAGTTGGATCTAAGGTTTTGAGTGATTGTATTGATACCTTTTATCTACCTATTATAAGGTAATCAAATATGCTTATACTTTTAGAGCATTTACAATATGTTTCAAGTTTCATATTGCCGCTTTTATTTGATTTTCAAGTGTAAGCAGCTTTGCGGCAGCGTTTGGTGGTTAAAGTACATGAGATTAGGCTCGAATTGCCAAAAACTTGCTAAAATAGTCCCCAATCTATTAAGCATATTTGATTACACTAGAATCGATAAAAATATCAATACAACCACTCAAAACATTAGATCCAACTAAGCCAGAATAAAAGTGGCCCCTCCCAACCACCAAAGTACCAACGTTTCTTATTGCTTATTTTCTTAAGTTCCACGGCCATTTTATACGGTCACGGCCACGGCTATTAAACGTAATGCCAAGGTTAAAGCAATGTTTTTGTGTATTCAACTCAACTTTCTCATTGTTTAGGAGAGAAAAGCGATGCCCCGATTATCTCG